CAGGACCAGCACAAAAATAAAGAGGGGGGGGCATGGAGCCAGAGGTGGGTCAAGTGCCTCCCAGATAACCCGAGGCGACCCCCGGAGGGACTCTGGCTTGCAGGAATGTGGAGCCCTCCATGTAGACGTGGTAGGCACCCGCGGACTGTCCCAGAGCAGGATGCCACAGATCAGGACTGGCTTTGTGATGAATGCAGCCCCACCTGCTCAGGGGGAGTCCCGACTGGGAACCACGTGGAGTGGGGGGGACGACGGCCTTCACCCCGGACCCCAGAAGCCTGGCCCAAATGGTGGCCAAGGAAAGTTGGAGGCCAGTGGGGCTGAGCCTGGACAGGAGGGAGGGAGGAGGTGCTCCTTGTGGGTGGCAGGGCCTAGCTGGGTGCTGGCAGCCCACCGCTATGACCCTATCTAGGGCAGACCATGGATTAACCACCTAAAAGCTGTTAGTGGAGCTGTGGTTCAAGTGGAAGGGGGTCACCATGAGCAAAAAAGCTGAGGGATGCTGCCAAGACCTTGAGCTCAAGCCCCAGAATAAGAGAAAACCCAAGATCCCCAAACTAGGCGAGCTCCCCTTCTGCCCCGTGGGCTCAGCATTATTTGTAAGGATGGCCCCCTCGTGTACAACAGGGTGTCAGGTACCCAGTGCCCAGATCCTGCTCCTCTGTGGGGGCTGTGGGCCCCGGGAATGCCCCTGCCCTGGCTCCCAGGGACTCCAACAGCCCTGGATCCCAAAACAGGGGTTCTGTGGTGCCCCAGCCCCACACAGTCCCACAGTCCAGCCTGACTTCTCCTCATTCCCGCCAACCTAGCTAGGCAAGCAAAGTCCAGGAAACATGGGTTTGAATTGACTTTATTATTCTGTAAATGTGAATTTTACAAAGCGCTTTACAATTAATGGTGACATCCTTTTGTGTGTCGTGGACTTCCACCTTACAAAACAGCTGAGCAGGCGCTCAAGGCCGGTTTCCCTGGTCACTGCGGATGTTGCTGCTGTCTTGGTTATTGATACAAGTTGTCAGCCATGGCTACAAAGTAATAGTCTTATCTCTAAGGGGTCACAGCACGGAAAGGGAGTGAGGACACAGGAAGGACAAAACAAAGGCTTCCTCCTCCTTGCAAAACAAAACAAAACAAAACACAAAACCACAACAGAAAAAAGCCAGCACTGGCGCGAATCTAACTCAGTGGTTCTGCGAAGCCCTCCTTGGTCGCACAGGAAGTTTATTTTATTAACATTTTTTTAACAGTCGTGAGTTACAGTACTACTTTAACCCCTAGACACACCCTTTAAAGCAACCATTGCCTTGTAAGTCTCTCTTTCTCCAAACATCCTGTGGAAGGAATGAATGTTCTATTTGTATTAGTGCCACCCAAATGTTCAAGTCAAAAATATTTATACATTTTATACTTAGTTCTTTTTTTGTCTGCTAAAAATAGTATTGCAAGTTTTGGCTTCTTTTGACATAAAAATCACAATCGTGTGCAAAACTCTCACTTTACAATGGAGGCGACTACCAGAACACAAGCAGGTTGTCCAACTTGAGTGCGTTAGGTTCTGCATAATTTTCCTGGTCATTTTCAAGAAAACAAGACAAAAACAAACGGAAGCAAAACACCTTTGCCATTTTAGACACTCCCTCACTCCCTGGGGGCGGGGGCCAGCAGGCTGACGTCACGAGGAATGAAGCCGCCAAAGTGGCAGCAGTAATTAAAGCTGAGACCCCCACAAGCTCCCGGCCCACAAAGGGTCCACGGCCTGCCGGGGAGGCGGGCAAACTCGGTGAGTTTTCCGCTGGCACCGGCATCAGCCCTTCTCACCCCAGCAACCAGACTTGCCTAACAATCAGCCTGCGGGGAACACAAACTGAGCATGGCCGGGCAGGGCGGGACTAGGGTGGTGCTGGGCCTAGAAAATGAACCCCAGCATGCCTGTGCGCTGGAGGGCAGACCCTGGCCAGGCCCCTCCTCTGCCCTCTTCTCAGCCTTAAACGCCAACACCAAGGACTTCCCACGGAAGACAAGACCACACAGCCAGCGTTCCACGCCCGCCGGCCCGGCCAGCACCCCACACAGACATGCGGGGGTCAGGGGGTCGGGGTCTTCTCCCCCCCCTTGCTTCACACACACAGCTGCGTCCACATTCAGGGGCAAAGTAAGACACCAAATCGGATGCAACCGTAAGCAACCACAGAGAACTCGGGTGGCAGACCCGGTGCTGAAAACAAGACAGAATTCAAGTACTGAGCCACCGAGCAGCGGGCGGCTCCTCCGAGCTCACAGATCTGTCCCGTCTCTGGTCCTCTCCTCTGGACCTTCTGCGTTTGTTCCAGCGGCCCTGGGGGGGCCCCCATCCCTTCTGTGAGGGCAAGGGAAGGTGGAGTGGGAGCCAGACCCCAGTCAGCCACCCACCTCAGCGCTCCGGAACGGTCCAGTCCCAACCATCCTCCAGGGAAAGGCGCCGATATAACTTAGTTCTATAATAGACTCTATATAGTAGATGCGTATTGCTAGTAGTCAAGCTTAGGAATAAAGGTGCAGACATCTCATAAATACTGAGTGGCTCGTCTCCCGTCCTCAGGGTCAGGACGAGCCAGGGTCGCGCTGGCAGGACACGACAGCCCCGATTTCTGGAATTGGTCATTGTAAACAAAGGAGGGGAAGGGTCCGGTTTTCTTAATTGGTTTTCCTTGGGAAAAATGATCAAAAGATGCTAAGGCACTCTGGAAGGCCCCCCGAGCCCAGGCCCGCCGCCCACCCGCCCCACGGTACATTCAGGATGCGGAAGGAGCCCCCCCCCCAGGCGGGTGCGGTCACCTGCCACGCACGTCTGCAAACGCTCCCTACCACGTCCACTGCAGGACACATTAGTGCAAAAAGCTCGGCCTGGCCCACAGGGCGCAGGGGGAGCTCAGATCCATTCACATTTAATCATCATTATTTAAGTTTTACCTAGAGTTCTTGCCTTCCTTACCCAGAAGAACAAAACAGACACGTGATTACAAACGAGGGAGGGACAGAGGTCACGGGGACATTGTGCTAGCCCGAGCGGCGGCCAGGCGTTCTGTGCGGCCACTGTGGCCTCCTCCAGTGGCCAGTGGTGCCCTCCCTGTGCTAGCCCAGGAATGGGGGGGGGGCAGGCCACTTGGAGTGGAGTGGGGAAAACAAAGCCCTCCGTCAGCAGCCAGGACAGCAGGCTTGCGCCCCCAAAGGTCCCCAGGGATGGTCAACTTAAAGTGCAAATTTGGGTGGAGAAACAGATGAAGGAAAACTCAGGTCAGAGGGACTGGGGTCCAACGCCACCCGCCTCCCCGCCCCACAGCCTCTTCCTAGCACCGGCCCCCCTGGGTCTCCAACCCACCTGGCTTCAGGTTGGGGTGGGGAGCAGGGAGAGGCCCACCTCAAGCAGGGGGGCTCAGGCCTGGGCTGCTGTGTGCCCTCCGTGCTGGCTGCAGCCTCCTGAAGCCCCCCAGGGGCGAGTGGAGGGGCTGGCTAGTCTCGAGGTACCTCTTTCCGGAGGGCAGGCACACGCGTGGCTGGGTGCAGTGTGGGAGGGTCTCCTGTGGGGTCCCCAACGCCTCTCCACATGGCAGGCAGTGCCCGCAGGTGTCCCAGGCTCCCCGGCCAGACTCTGGCCCTCCAGCGGGGGCGCACCTGCGCAGCTGTGTGCACACGAAGCCATCAGGGCGGAGGGAGGACGGGGCAGCAACAGACTCTTCAAGTCTTGGAACGAGGTTGTCCTTGGCCTTCCCAAGAGCTGCCTGGGTCCTGCGGGCAGTACAGTCCCCAGCCCAGGAAGAGACACTGGGCATGGCCCTAGGAACACAGTCCCACAGCCATGAACAACACTTAAAGACAACAACTTCAAGGCGGCGCTGCGGCGCCCTCCTCGTGCTTTCTAACCCAGTGGGAACCACTGGAGTTAGTACCTGTCACCCCAGCCAAGCTGGCCCTGCGGCCTAGCCCCAGGAGCCCTGGGCACCACAGAGGTGCTGTGCCCATAGCGTGAATGAGGGGTCAAGGTCAAGGGGCAACCCTGCCCTGGCCCAGACCGGGGGGCATCCTGTCCAGCACAGCCTCCGACCTCTACGCTTGGGGTCTGCACACCTGGGCTGCCCTTTGCTGGGCCCAGCCTCCAACAGGAGGAGCATGGTGCTGGCACAGGGTGGGGGTGTGGGCATGCACGCACCCCAGTATGTGGTAAGCTGAGACAGGGACGCCCGTCCCGCCCCGATTTTTTGCTCTATTGGGTCTGAAAGTTTCCAAACAATATATGAAATACATCCGAACAAAACGAAAATACCAGAGAAGCAAAGCCTGGGTGGGTGGGAGGCAGAGGATGTGAGGCGGAGCTGCGCATTCGGTAGGTTCAAGATGCCCCACTCCACGGGGAGGGGCAGCCGGGTGAGCGCCACAGGAGACCTGGGAGCCGGCAGGCCAGGCCCCGGGGGTCTCCTGGGAGCCAGCAGGCCAGGCCCCGGGTCTCCAGGCTGACTGAGGGGCTGCAGGGCTGAGGGATGGGTGGGGCAGAGCAAGAACGTGGACATGGATGGAGAACAGGGGTCCTCCACCCACAGGTGCCCGCAACAGCTATGGGTACGGCATGGCCACCGGTCTCTTCACTCACTCACACTCACTCACACATTCACGCTCACACACATACGTGGCATCTCAGGAAGAAGGAAAAATAAGGAGTTTGGCCTCTGGGGGCCCAGCACTGCCCACTGCCCCAGGGGGGTCCCCACGGGTAAGAAATGGAGTGTCATGCACCCCAGTCCCACCTGTCCCCGGGCAGGTGGAACAGGAAGGGCGGGTGAGGCAGGGGCTGGCCTGGGCACCCCGGCCCAAGTGGCCTCCCACCCCTCCCCCTTCCGGGGGAGGGGGAGGGGCCGCTACACCAGGAGGCTGACCTGGGAGTTTCGGAAAGGAGCCTGGGACACCCTCCCAGCCGGTGGCCAGCGGGTGGCCAGCGGCCTAACTTTACAGTATAATGAATGCATGTGTTTCCTTCATCCATTTTAAATACAGGCAGAATAAAATCACATTTCTGTCAGGCAGCAGTAGCAGTTCAGTAGGTAAGTGGCTTGATCACATTGGTTTGTATTAGTAACGCATGCAAGCAGCTTTAGTACTAGGTCCCTCGCAGGCTGGTCACCCCAGCCCCTTACAAAGTCCCTGCGTAGGTGCCCTCCGGCCGTCTTGTCGCCACGGCTGCCGGCGTCTGGGGCCTGCTGGAGCTGGCACTGCCCTGCTCGAAGGGCTGTGAGGGGCTCTGGCCAGTGGTGGCCAGCGGCTCTGGGGCGGCCACCTCCTGGATGACCGAGCCAGCCCCCTCGGCCTCCTCGCTGGCCTCGAAGGCGGAGCTGGCGGTGGCGCTGAGATCCACGTTCACCGCGTCCGTTCTCAGAGCCACAATGGTGGCGGCGTCGCTCCTGCGCTCGGCGTAGATGCGCTGCTCAAACACCTGCGCGGCAGCGGGCGGGAACTCGGGGTCGAGGGGCAGGCCGGCGGCCGAGGCGCCCATGACGGTGCGGTACATCTCCACGCCCTCGGGCAGCATGGACTTGATCTTGGGCAGCCAGCGCTTGCGGACGCGGCGGGCGTTGGTGCACATGTCCGCGGCAATCACATTCATCTCGCTCTCCTTGAAGCTGGGGGCGAAGTTCTGACAGTACACTGCAAGGACACGTGTGCCGGGGTGTCAGGGGGCCCCTACCGGCCATGCGGCCACAGATCTGAGAAGCCCTGCAAAAACTCCGGGGCCCAAGTGCCACCAAGCCGCAGTGCCACCGCCAGGGACACCCGGGGACTGTCTGTGCTGCACGGACACCAGAGACCACGTGGTCTCGGGGATCCCCCAGTCTGAACTGAGGGATCTGCCACACTGGCAGTCACCTCCCTCAGAACTCGGCCCTTGATGTGGTACGAACCTCTACTGCCAATCAGGACTGGCCAGAGGGCCCACCTCACATGGGAACACGAGCAAGAGCTCAGCTTGTCCAGAACCTTCCTCATCCCAGGCCCCGTGAACAAGAGAGAAGACAACCACTACAAAAATCCTCTGGCTTTCTCCAGGAGTCATAGACCAAAGCCAGGCATCGGGTCCCAAAGAGCACTGAGCAACAGGCCAAGCCAGGTCTCTGGTCTCAAAGGGCACTGAACTAGGAGCAAGTCCCCATCCCCTCGGGAGCCATGCCCTGCCTCTGAGCATGCGCTCCCCGCCCCCTTTCCGGCATCTTCCTGGGTCTCAGCTGTCAACCTGCATTCTGGGACTGTAATTACTAACTGCTAAGGTCCTTCTACGGCAAAACAGAATTAGCCTCACAAGGGATATATATATATTTTTATTTTTTTTTTAAGCAAGAAGAGAAGACAGCGTTTCGTGGGCCAATGGCCTCAGGAAGCTGTGCTCTTGGCCAGCCCGGCACGTGCCAGGCAGCGAGGCCTCTCCCCAGCTGGGGGCCGGGCACGGCCTGCCACCCAGACAACTGGGCCCCGCCCAACACCCAGGAGCGGGAGGCAGAAGCCGGCCGAACAGATGGCAAAGGCTCAAAATAACCTCAACATGTAAATAAGGGGTTTTGTTCAAAAAGGAAAATTAGATCTATTTCACATATTAAAATAGTTTCGCAGCTGAATTCATCATGCTTGGAAACCTACCAAGGACGTTAGCACCTCCAGACTGGGCTCCGCTGGCTGCTCTTTTCTCTCTCTCCCCAGTGCCATGGGCCGATGGCGGTACTGGGAGAGGCAGCCTCGAGGCGCCCCAGGCTTCCTCCAACTCGGATCTGAACCCCACAGGGGCTTCCTGGACTTCCCAGGACCCTCTCCCCCCCAGCCCTGCCCCACGGAGACCATGGCCCACTCACGTTTCACAGCATTTAGGACTCGGCTGTCCAGCGGCTTACGGCTTGGGTCACTGGTGGACGAGCGGATGCCTGTGCCACAGCTGTTGGCCAGCGTGTTCCTGGTGGAGAGATGAGCAAAGGCGGGTGAGGCCACTGGCCCAGAAGTGACCCAAGGAGCAGCCCTTCCCCACCACACGGCAGACTCCTCCACCCAGCAACTCCCCCCGCCCCCCCCCAGGTGGACGTGGCCCACTGGAGTTAGGACCAGTCTTTCTCTAAAGGTCAGGGCAAAGGCAAAGCCTCTGCTTGAGTGGGTGGGTGGAGGGGCTCTGTGGAGCGAGCCCGGTCCTCAGAGATGGGGTTGCTTCACCATGGGGTAGGGCTCTGCTGCCCAGCTCATCTATGAGCACAGGGGTTCCCGGCCGTCTGCTCCTGCTTGTGGGGACTTGAGCCCTCTGGGGCTTTCTGGGACTCCAGGCCCCCCCCTTACCCCCCCCAAGAGCCTGGTCTGAGGGACCACCTTCCCGGAGCTTCCCCACCATGGACTGACAAGCCATTTTCAGAAGTTGGGGAAAGGCAGAGGGCTTCAAATGCCCAAACCTTCATGACCGGACAGCTAAAGGACACTCCAGAACTTTCTTTTCTTTTTTTTTTTGTTGGTCATGGGGCTTGAACTCTGGGCCTGGACGCTGTCCCTCAGCTCTTCAGCTCAAGGTGAGCGCTCTACCACTTGAGCCACAGCACCACTTCTGGTTTTCTAGTGGTTTATTGGAGATAAGAGTCCCACAGACTTTTCTGCCCGGGCTGGCTTTGAACCGTGATCCTCAGATCTTAGCCTCCTCAGTAGCTAGGATTATAGGCATGAGCCACCGGCGCCCGGCTACTCCAGAACTTTCTGCAGCTGCCCCCTGCCCCTGCCACCTACCTGTCAAAGAAAGTGGCCAGCAGCCGCCGCAGCAAGACCTTGTGCTTCACCCCTGCGCAGAGGTGGCAGTTCATGAGCTGGCCCCGTGTGATGTAGACACCAGAGCCTGTAGGCAGCAAAGGGATGTGAGGCCCTTCACCCTGAAACTAGGGCTTGCGCCCCCACGCCCCCCCCCAGGAGATTCTGGGGTGGAACGGGTGGACAGAGAAGCCTGGGACAGGTGTTGGAGGTAGAGAGGGGCCGAGGCCTCTTAGGACCCCTGCTTTGACAGGCCCAATCTTCTGGTCTTGACAATGGTGCAGCCAGGCCACGCTGGCCCTGTTCTAGGAGCCATGGCTGGGTTCAGCTGGGGCTGGGGCAAGCCCAGGTGCACCACAGCTCCCCAGATGTCCCCAACTCCCAGATTCCCCTGCTCTGCTGAGGTGCTATTGGCAGCCAGCCTTGATCAGCTCCCTAGAAAGATGGTCTGGGCGCAGTGGGGAGGGCAGCTCCGGTTCTGGGTCCCAGCAACCACCGAGCCTCAAGCAGATAGGTGGAAGGTGGACAGAAGGTTCACAGAGTTCCATGGGGCTCAGCACCGATGCTAAGCATGTCCAGGAGAATCCAGCCAGGGCAGAGGAATGCCCTGTGACCAGGAGGCCTGGGCTGTGTCCCAAGAGTGCCAGCACAGTGTGGTAAGCAGAGGGCTGAGTCAACAGAGGCCTGGGCCTGCAGGACACCAGCACCAAGGGGAAAGGCCGGGGCGGGGCGGGGCGGGGCGGGGTGTGCAGAAGCTGCTCCCATCACTTTCTTGCCGGGACACTGTGATCTGATTTATTATGGAGCATGGACTGAATGCTCTTTTGTCTGTTTTGAGACAGGGTCTCTGTCTATGTAGCTCAGGCTGGCCTGAAATGCAGGATTACAGATCCTGAATCTTCCCATCTGCCCCTTCCATCAGAAAAAGAGCAGAGGTGGCCATCCTTCCTCAGAGGGCTTTCAGATTTTAGTGAAAGGACCAGAGGAGGAACTGGGTCTTGCTTGGGGTGAATGTCCCCCCTTCCCAGAGCCGGGGCTGGCTGAGCTGAGGGACCCGCCTTGCAGCCCAGCTGTCGCCTCCGGGGAACACACACTCGGGGCTGCCTTGGGCCGCCTGGAGCGGCAGCCTTCTGGTCCTCATCAGCCATCCCAGCCCCCTACCCGCTCCCTGGAGGAAGTTCGTGCCCACAGCCCCCTGTGGCCGGGGAAGCACCCACACACCACACACATGGCCAGCTGTGACGAGGTACAGAACCCGGAGCTCCTGCTCCGCTGAAGGAGGGATCTGAAGGCAAGGCAAGTGATGTAGGTGCCAGAGAGGAAGACGGGGTGGCCGGGAAGAGGCTGGCTGGGGCGAGGGACCTGCCCAGCCCGCATAAGGCTTTCTTGGCACAGAAAGAAGTTTTTACTACATAATGGCTCCAAGTCAAATGAGACATCGTGCTATCAAGTTTTGTACTTTCCTTTAGGAGCCTTGAACACCTAAGAGGCCAGAGGGACCCAGCACGCAAAGACTAACATTCCTGACAAAGGCACCAGGCAGAAGGGTCCGGGCCTGGCGGTGCTGTCTGTCTGCAGCATTCCACTTCGGACAAGGCTCTGCTATTCCCAGCTCCAGCTGGGAGCTCAAGCTGGAGCGGAAGCTGGAAAACCCTGAGCAGCTTGGTTCTTTGCTGGTTTGGGGGGACCGGGCATGACCTCAGTCTCACACTAGCTAGGCAGGTGGTGTACTGTTTGAGCCACGCCCTTAGTGTGCCACTCGGTTCTCTCGGTGACCTACACTGAAATTGATCATCACTGCCAGCCTGCCAATCAGGAATATGGTCAGCCCAGGGGACTCAATTAAAATACCAAATTAATTCAATTGAATAACTCCTCTTCCTGACACATTCTTTAAAAAGGAAATCAGACGTTCTCTCTTTTTTTAACCAACCGACGACGAGCACACAGCGTTCATAGCTCTGGACATCCGCCTGCCATGGATGGGCGGGGCTCACCTGCCACAAGCTCCAGCTTCTCTCCGGGATCGCCCTCCGAGTAGAGCTTGGGATGACAGCGGTACCCGATCTGGCTGATGAGGCTGGCAGGCAGGGCCACCAGGTCACGGCGGATGAGGACGCATGAGCGGCTCTCCAGCGGTACGGGCTCTGGCTTCTCTTGGACTGCAACACGCACAGAGCTGGTGAGGTGGGTATGGGGGGCGGTGCAGACTAGGCTGTTCTCTGCCCACTATGTACAACTCTGAAGCCCAGACTGAACTGCTCTATGCCAGCCAGGGGCTGAGATCAGGCCCACCACTCTTGTCCTGCACACCCCTGCTGCACCGCATACTCCCCTGTCCTGTTTGCCAACCCTGCTCTAGAAGGAAACTCCAGAAAACGGAGCAGAAAAGCAGCAGAAGGCAAGGCTAGGTTGGGAACAGGGCGCGGGAGGGACGGCCAGAGGCCTCAGAGCTGCAGGCACGGCTGAGGTCCAGGGACCCACACCGTCTAGCCAGGCAGAGTGACTAGCTCTGCCATCAGGAAAGCCATGGAAGGCACACCGCACAGGTGGAGTTGGGCCTAGGTCCCAGAGACTGGACGCCAGGCTCTCCTTGCATGGCTTCATCTAAGAGGCAGCCTGGCCAGGCCTGCCGGGGGATGGGGCAGTGAAGGGGGTCACGGGCCTGGCTCGGTGAGGACACAGCCCTTGCACTGGGTCAGCCTGGCACGAAGCTGCTCCTAAATATTTCTTTTTTCGTAAGTAATGTATTGTTCTAGAGGCGATAGAGGAATTACAATGACATGAGTCTGGTAATAAGTATATTTCCTCTTGAACAGTGTCTTCTTATTTTTTATTTATTTATTTTGCCAGTCTTGGGGCTTGAACTCAGGACCTGGGCACGATCCCTGAGATTCTTTTGCTCAAGGCTAACATGCTACCACTTCAGCCACAGCGCCACTTCTAGCTTTTTCTGTTTATGTGGTACTGAGGAATGGAACCGAGGGTTGCATGCATGCTAGGCAGGCACTCTACCACTAAGCCACAATCCCAGCCCTCCACAATATTTCTTACAAATAGAACCAGGCAAGGCAGCCCTAGCCTCCTGCCGACAAAAATGTTTTGGACAAATTGCTTCTGGTAGTGACAGTTTAGTCCAGAAGCCACTGCACCTGCAGTTCTGAGGCAGTGCCAGGCAGACATGACCCCCAGATAGCCCTGAGCCATAGGCTCCTCCCTAAGAATGCCCAGGCACCACAGCCTGGGCAAGGGGAGCAAGGCCTGGCTGAGGCCCCCATCAACTCTATGTGGACACAGCTGTCCCCAAATCCTGCCCAGCATTGTCTGGGGCCTTTCCCCTTGAAACAGCCAGGCCTCAGGAAAGCCAGCAGGACCAGTGACCTAAGCAGCCCCTCCAAACTCCCTCAGGCCACCACAACTGCCAAGCAGGCACACCACACCAAGTCTGCAAACAAGCCACCATGCCAAAACAGAGAGCGCTCCACCTGCCAGTCAGTCATGATCCTCACCAAGACCCCACCTGCTCCTGTCAGTCATGATCCCCACCAACATCCCACCTGCTTCTGTCAGTCAGTGATCCTCACCAAGACCCCACCTGCTCCTGTCAGTCAATGATCCCCACCAAGACCCCACCTGCTCTGTCAGTGATCCTCACCAGGACCCCACCTGCTCCTGTCAGTCAGTGATCCCCACCAAGACCCCACCTGCTCTGTCAGTGATCCTCACCAAGACCCCACCTGCTCCTGTCAGTCAGTG